TTAGATTGTACCACGAAGGTGAAAAACTCAATAATGTAATAAGAGTTAGAAGTAAATTAACAAAAGCTATTTTGTTTTGTGGTCAATAAATTAATAGATTTCCTAGGTATGTACTTTCAAATAAAACATTTATTTTTACAATTTAAGTTAAAAATATTTATTAATTGCTTTGCTAAATAATTTATCTTCCATATGTTTTACAAAACATTGAAGTTATATTAAAATTAATCTAAAATTGGGTAATTTTATTAGACCTTTACTTAGAATCCAAGCGTGCTCTTGCCGTAGGTGGATTTCGCGGAAGGTGTTTGCTTCAATGGTTCGGTACAAGGCGGGTCTATCCGTTTTTATGATTGATCTAAGGTCCAATCAGTCAGCTATGGAGCTGGTTCGTGTATGTTTTGAGGTGGTATATCTTTAGAAGGAAAAACAGAGCTTGTGTTCGTAGTTCGTGCCCGAGCCCGGTTGTGGTCGCGGAGAGAGTTTGATAGTGGATCATTACATTACGGATATTCTCCAAGACAAATGTTGTTCCTTACGCCTGCCTGCTACATAGGCAACGGCTTCATGCTAATGGATGATAACGCTCGATGTCACACATCACTGATTATGAAAGATTACCTGGCCAACACCAATATAACAACAATGGACTGGCCTCCATTGAGTCAGGACATGAACCCCATCACGCACCTATGGGATAAACTTAAACGCAGGGTTTGAGTCTACAAGATCTTTACGCGGGTAAAAACTGCATTAGATGAAGAGTGGGAAGCGATTCCTCAGGAATCAGTCAAAAACTTTATAAGAACCTTAAGAGATCGCATGGAAAGTGTAATACAACTAATAGAGTAAGAGTTAAGAGGAGGAAATACTCAGTACTAATTTTGATTTTTCGTGCTAATTTACTTTAATGTTCATAACACAATGACTTTAATTTATAACATGTTTTCTCACATACAATATTAAGTTATCTTTGTTATGTTCTTTACTTCCTAACTTTAAATATTGGTGTCATTGCAATAAAAATTACTTCTGTTCATGATATTTTACTTTCAATTTTACATTATATGTAGATATACACTGGTCAAACAGCGTAGTAAAGAAATATAACTTATTTTACTTTTGAGTCGATTTTTTGCTTGCAAAGTGTACTTAGAACAATGAGATTTATTTTGTACTTATCTGTTTTTTTTAGAGATACATGTCATGTTACTCTGCAAAAAATAAGTACCTATAGTTTGTCTCAAAGTGACTAATCTGTACAGGCAAAATATGCAATGCAGTTTAATGCAGTGAGCGATGGCGTTCTCTATTGTATATCTTTCAAAATAAACGGAATAAACCAGGAGTTCTCAACAAGTCCTCACGTACAATTTTGTGTAATTTACAAATATCGTTTGCTAATAATTTTACATAGTACTATACATTATTTGTTTCTAATAGTAACTTATCAACTTTGATCTTTTATTAGTAGCAGTAGTATAATAAAATGTGCATTAAATAAACATTTGTTTCAAATTTTTTCAAATACTTTCTTCTAAGTTATTCAGTAATTAAGAAGCAATTAGAGTAATTCTTATACAGAATATGTTTAAAAGCTTGATACATCCAGGGCCTTAATTAATTAGTCTTTATTTGTTCTTCGGAGCGTGTAAACATATTAAAGTTACGATTATTTGTACCATCTTGGATGTACTGTTACTGTTTTGTTATTGTTATTATTTGTTGGTGGCTATTGTTGTGATTTGCTATTGGCAATTACTGTTATTTTCTGTTGTTGGCTATTGTTAAATTTGACGCCGAATTTTTACCGCAAAATGGAGAAAATTGTCCAATGAAACGTGGAAAAGCTGTGAAACTTTCAGAGAAGCAGATACTAATGAATATTATTAATTATCATCTTAATCAGGATAACAACGATTCTGTATCAAGTGTAATTAAGAAAGTGTCAGAAATGAGTGGTGTTTGCTAAAAGACTCTGTTTCGCATACGACAGGAATATTCATCACCTGCTGGATTACAATCTCCAAAAAGCAGGCACAAGAAGCGAAAGGTTGGTAATTCTCGTGACACCAAGTACGATGGAGGTGTCAGGGACCAAATTCGTAGAATAGTTCATCAAGTTTTTCGTGGCAACATACCACCAACAATAAACACCGTATTAGCTGTTGTAAATGTCGAAGAAACTTTGCCAAACTTTTCACGGACCACGCTACATCTCTTGCTGAGTGATATGGATTTTGTGTTTATAAAACGTGGCGGAAATTCAATTTTGATTGAAAAACCAGAAATCATCTCGTGGCGTCATCTTTATTTACGCACAATTCGTAAATACCGTGCAGAAGGATAGAACATAGTGTATTTGGATGAATCATGTGTAAATATTGGGCACTGTGTGAAAAAAGAATGGGTTTATAAAACAATTACATCTCATCGCGATGCTTGTGTTCGTAATCTGACAACAGGATTAAAAGCTCCAACAGCTCATGGTGCACGGTTCGTTTTATTGCACGCAGGATCTACCAGTGGATTTGTTGATGGAGCAAAGCTCACGTTTTTGGCAAAAAAAAAATACTCAGGACTACCACGACGAAATGGATGGACCGACATTCGAAGATTGGTTCGAAAATAACTTAATGCTACATTTGCCAGAAAAAACTGTTGTGGTAATGGACAATGCCTCCTATCACAGCAGAAAGTCAGAACAAATTCCCAACAGTTCAACACTAAAAAAGATATTCAAGAATGACTTCTGTCAAAGAACCTATTTTTTTAAGAAGTCTACCTAAAATGCGAGTTACTTGATGTAGTCAAGACCTTTAAAGCAAAATATGACAGCTACATAATAGAAGATATTGCCAAAAAGCACAATGTTAAGATTCTGAGGCTCCCACCCTATCAGTGTGAATTCAATCCCATCGAAATGGTTTGAAGTGAAGTGAAACGGTATATAGCTGGACGCAACGCGAATTTTAAAGAAGCTGAAATTCGAAATTTAATTACAGCAGCGTACCAGGTCAGTATGCCAGATAAATGGAAAAACTACGTAAACCACGTAATAGCAACAGCAAAAAATGTGGGAAATTGGCAATTTGCCACATTGACAAATATAAATAACGGAGATAGTGATGACAGTGACGATAATAATGTTGATAAAGATAGTTAAGCAGAAACTAAATGTGGCAGCGATTGCCAGAAAAAGGAACTAAATATAATGGTGTACAATTACGATTACTTAAACACGAAATTAAATACAATGACTTCTTTTATTTCCAACTTATTTATTAGTTTTATTTTCGGTTATTTCTACGTTTTGTTACTGCCAACATATACAGTGCGGTTTTTTCCTTCTCCCCTTAATTTTAAACGGAAAAATACATAAATAAAATGTTTCTTTATATTTAAGTTTTATTTTATTCGATTTTATTTAAGTAAATCTATAAACAAATGGTTTGTATCACTAGCACATACTGTAGAATTAAAAACAAACTGCTTATGTAACATAAATAAAAGGCATTTCTTAATTTCTATTTTATTTTAATTTAACCCAAGTATGTTGTAGCAAATATTATTTATGTTTGAGAACCACGGACACAAGGAAGCCAGGCAGGGTCGTTAATGGGCATTAGTACTTAAGCTACCCTCAACACAAAAGATGGATTGGGCTAAGTAGTAAGAAGTGACGTTTATTTTAATATAATAAGTTTGCAAAGAAATATGGCATCGATGTTGTGCATATACCCTGTACAGACAAGTCACTTTGAGACAATCTATAGTAAATTAAGCGATAAAGAAGTTGTATTTATTGGCAAAATATCTGTTAGCATTTTGTTAAAAGAATTTTAATTTGAATACGAAACAGATAATAATAGAGGAAAATTAATTGATCGCACCAGTATTGCTGCTTCAAGTACCTTTGTAAATATATGGAAAATCTTAATAGTGTGCATCCCAGAGACGAAACATGGATTTATTCAAAGGGAAAGACAACAATTACTGACAAGACAACAGTGTTAAAAGGTTACATAAGCCAGAAGAGTTTGATAGTAAATATTTGAAAATTTTCACTCTAGCTCTTTGAAAGGATTTGTACTTAATTGAAGCAAGTTTATTATGTTGCCCAAAATCTAAAGAAGCTGATTATCATAGGGAAATAAACAATGAAATGTTCACTAAATCGATGAGGGAATAATCAATTCTCAATTTAGAAGAGCCATTATTAATTGTGATAGATAATTCCCCATATCAGAGTGTACTTTGGAAAAGCAACCTTCCACTGTTTCAACTAGAATGGAAATTATTACCTGTTGACAACAAACAAGATCAATTATTATGACACAAAATTCACAAATTATTACTAACCTGAATTATTATAAATTGCAAAAATGAACAGACAAAAGTATAGCTAAGTATATAATTGATGAGCTACTAAGAGAATACAGTCATGAATTGTTGAGACAATTATAATAATAAAAATAGACATTCTGATAATGCTGTTATAAATATGATAAAAGAGGCACTAAACCAATTCAACACAGAAATTTGGGAAAAATGTGTGAAACATACTCATGAAATTATTAAAAAGTAGTAAGTACATCTGAGAAAAAAATATGGTTGGCGTTAACATTAACAACCAATCATAATAGACACTGATAATATGAGTAGCTCAGATTCTGACAGTGAATAAATCTTAAATGTATGATTGTATGTGATGCTTAAATACATATTTAAAATAAATTGTTTTTTACACAACTCAAAAGTGTTTTATTTTTCAATTTATTATACTTATATAGGTTTCATTATTTGAATTTTGTTTTGTTAATGTTTGTGTCTACATTTTTTTTTTCAATTTAACTTGATAACAGGTGTTACCTGCATCTAGTCTTATTATGTTTATTAGAGTTTTAGTCATTTTGTGTAATCACCTGTTACAAGACTCACAGCTCTTTGATCTTGCATCCAGCAATATCCTCCAAGGGTAGTAAAATCAAATTTATTAATTAATTCTGAAACCAATATTAACTTAACACTAAATTAACAAAATGGTCAAGATGATGGAGCCCTGAGGTAGATTCCCATTCAGTTTTTTAGATCATAACCCATATATTTTCTGATATGCATTGAAATCACTTTTAGTCTTGATTAAGTACTATGGTTTAAATATTTATTTAGGTAAGTAATGTAAATGTTACTGGACAACATAGGTTTCCAAAAATTGGAGAATCACATTCATAAATGTAATAGAAATATAAATAGAAATAAAATAAAAACTTCCATTGTTGTAATATTTCCAACTCTTATAACCTACATAAGTTTGGCTCACATGTTAAGGTGTATTTCCTATAATATGAATGATGACAATGTGCAAAGATTCAGCAGATCAACTGTATGTGCTTATAAGATATTTTTCTATTTCTTTATGGTAAAGTACATTCTCTTTAACATACAGGCTGCAATTGCCTAAAAAATTAAGTAAATGAAAAAAAAATTGAGTTTAGTTTCAGATTAAGAACATGCAAAATATGCCCAATCTAGTATAAAGAAGAACACACAGAAGAACTAACACAAAATTAACTGTCTAAAATTTTTTCTAATAAATGTTTAAAAGAGTCTAAAATGAAACTAAAATACAGGATGTTTCAGTAAAAAATCATCATCATCATCATAATCCCTGGCTCGACAACCCTTTTTGGGTATTGACCTATTTCAGGATTCAGCACCATGTTGATTGGTTTCTTGCTTTTTTACCAGTTTTTCTTTTTAAAGTTTTTATATCATGTTCTACTTATTCCAAGTATTTCAGCTTTGGTCCTCCTTTCGTACTTTTTCCTATTGGCACTTGCTTGCTTAATTTGTTTGGTATTTCAACTTCTTCCATTCTTTCCACATGTACCATCCAATGCAGCCGACCATTGATAAATATGTAACTTTATAATAATTATGTAAATTGGGACATCCTGTATATGTTTTACTAATTTTGGATTGTAGTTATTTTATGTATTGAAAATATTGGTATGGAAGACAATTTAATACAATTGACAATCTTTCGCTTGTATACAGTAAGTATATTTTCATTCATATCTTATTCATTTTTATGAAAACTATTACTAAAATATGACAATAGGTATATGGGTAAATATTAAAAAAAAACTTTATTAACATTACAATTTATTGCAAATATTAGTTAAATATTTACTTCCTGTATCTTAAGAGCAAAAAAATTTTAGATTTACAATGACAATAAACAAGTTGTCAATGGTACTTTGTCATCAAGTTTTCTCAAGTGGAAGGAATAAAAAAAATGTAAAAGGATAATGGCTTGGCTACATTCGAGTAATATACATAAAGTTTTTGGCAAATTTGTGATAATAATGGTCTTACTTATGAGAAGTAATTAGAATATATGTCAAAAATGAAAGATAATTAACAGAAGATATGGAAACATTTCTAGACAAATGTCTGCATCTGTCACATGTATTTATTCGTTAAAACAGAGAAATAACAAAAAAATATGTTATAATTAGTTGACATGTCTCTATATATAATTCAATGAATACATTTTGCTAAATTCAAATGTGTCTCCTAGAAAACCTTTTTCCATAGATGTTTCCTAACTTTGATTTACCCCATAACATGAAATACATGGACTCAGTGCCTTAGTTGAATTATTATATAAATCATTTATTTGTAACTAAGTATAACTAATTTAAATCACCTGTCAGTAATTCCACCTTTTTAAAAACAAATATGAGTATCTGCATTATTTACCCAAGTTTATCTAAATTGACAATATTTGCAATGACACTTTTAGGTTAGAATATATATTTACACAGGTAACAATAAATATATAAAAGAATTGCTGCTAGTAAAGAAGTAGAATAATTGGTTTTTGAGGGATAACATAGAAGGAAAGATGGTCTATTTAAACACTTGATAAAATACTAAAGGATAAGTAATTTGTAGGGTGAAACATTTGTTTGAAGTCTTTGTGTTTTCCTTTAGTAAACAACAAAAACAAATTTAAAAATACGTATACCACAAGTGCTGTCACAATCGATTTATGGATTAAAAATGTTGTCATAAAAAAACTTACCAATTGCAATACTGTGTTGACGACTTCCTTATTGGAAACTTGACCAACTTCTATGAGTCCAATTAAAACAGCAAATTTTAGACTATCGTTCATAGCCATTCGCACCACCTCTTCGGGGTGTTTTATATCACTCAGTGGAGGTTTTGATAAATCCGCCATGGCGAACGTTTTAAACAATTCGTGAACACACACTAAAACAAGGGTTAATCACTACATTTACACAAAACACGAAAAATTTTCCGATACATCAACGTAGCGCGAACTACCCTCTGCCATGTTGGAAAATGAATATCTAACTTGACAGGCCGGCAATCGCTTTTCCCAGACAGAAAATTCGTGCCCTGTGGTGAAAGTTGCCTATTCTGGTAAACAACAGCTGTTTTCTTTGCGGCGTTGTCGATAACTTCAGACAATTCTGCTATTTAGAGAGTTTTATAGATAATAATTATAGGTGTCTAATATTATATTATTTATCTATGATTATAGGGTAACATATTATTATACAAATTTTAATGTTAAATAACTTTCTTACTTACTCCCCAATTTTGATCATTTTTTCGACAATCAAAACGAAAATCATCCCAGAAATTAGCACCAGTCAGATTTATAGATATTACAATAAAAACAAAATTATATTTCTATTACAAAAAAATCAAGCTTTAACAGACCCTATATTGAAGCCGTTGAATGTCACACAAAACTATTCTCTATGCAAGCTTCTTTCATTCGTCTTTACATTGTTTTCATCTATTTAGATATGTCGATTCGCTTCCAAGTTACGAATTTCTTGTAGGTAGTAGTAGATTGTTTTATTTGCGCCTTGATATCAATATGAGCAATATATCTGGGTAATGTTGGGTCTCAATTGCCAAATATGTAGTATATTTGTCTGACGGAATTCTTTCCATGTCTCTCTGTGTACTTTTTTGTAACGGAAACATACCTATGCTTGCTTTCATCATCTTAAGAGATAAGGCTAGGTTAATGAGCTTGATTTATTTCCATACTTCAATTATTGTTTTAAGCCCTTAATATAACAAACATGAAGATGACAGATGATCTTTAAAGCTTTAAATATTCTAGGATGAAACAAACATATTTTTAATGTTGTTTTTCTAAAGATTGGTATATTTCGTATGTTCTTACAACGAATAATAATTTTTGCAATATTAAAGCTGCTTTAATGTAATAGTTATTTATATTCCTAATATTTTATTGCATTTTCAAATTTCAAATGACAATCAGGAAGAGCTATAGAACTTTTAAATGGTTTATTGCGACAGTGGCAGCGCTGCGACAAAGAAAGGTTTTCCACAATTTTACCAACCTGCTAAATGTTCAAAGTGTCAAAACAAACACATTTTAGAAAATTACACAGGATTCGTTGCATGGGATATAATAATAATATATTGTTTTTAAAGACAAAATACCTTTTTTTCTATTTTTGCCGATATGGAAAAATTTAATAGGAAACTATTGAAATCAAAGTAAATACTTAAAGATAGATAACTATTGTATTATGCGATTAAATGATTTTATCAGTAATAAATAAAAGTAAAAGATATACCTATTAGTAGGTATATGCAATATTTTATTCTCGGAAAATCTAAATAAAAAAGTCTGTAGAGATGAAAAAGTACAAATAACGATAATTTCACAAGTATCTAAGCAATGGAAGGTGTTCTGTTATGTATTCATGTGAAGTCTCTTGTTTCTCTCTCTCGCTCTCTCTCTGCTGGTCACAAGCCCGTATAAAGGAGGAGGGACTCCAGGTTGGGTTAGTGCCCTACCTAGAGGAAGACATATAGGCTTTCAGAACCAAAGTTGCCTAGGAATAAGGACGGATTGAATAGATGATGAATAATGCAGCGATAAATGAAAACGTAAACAAAAGTTAAACATAACAATACTAGCCTGTTGGAACATGACATTTGAGAATAGAAGAGACCAGGATATAATTATTGAAATGGGAAAACCTAGAATAGATATCTTTGACTTATCAGCGGACTGAAGGCAAATATGCACATACCATATTTTGCATATTGTATGAAACTAGTAAACTCTTTGCATATTTTTATATAAATCGGAGTAAAATACTTACATAAAAACACTAAAGTTGTGCCCGTATTGGGATACGATACAATTTAAGTGTTCTTGATGTTTTACAATAGACAAAAATCGCTTTATTAATAGGGAAAGAGATTAACACAGCTGGAAAAGGCCGAACAACATACAGTGTTAACCGCAAGTGCTGATAACCTTTTGTACCACACTTACGAAAATAAGCAAAAGAGCCAACTAGAGGTGTTGTTAAGAAGTTACATCACACATGGCCTCCAGAGGAAATAGTAAAAGACCTACAAAAACGACAATATAAAGCCATTAAAGCTGACAAGAAATTAAAATGGAAAACTAAAAAACTACTAGATACGTCCATCATAACATTTAGACAAGATGAAGATATAAATAGAATTTACGGCATAACAGACATACTTGTTACAAGAGTTAAAATCGGCCCAATTATGAGTTTCAAATTAGTCCCGCAATGTAAAAGATGTCAGGCTTACGGACAGACGTGGAAATGCTGTAAAAAGGAGCCAATATGTGTAAAATGTATTGGTAAACACCTTACTAAAGATTGTCAAAAACCACCGGAAGATAAACCGAAATATGTTCATTGTGGGGAAAACCATACTGCAAACTATCGCGAATGTTATGTAGCTAAAAATTACAAACAATGAGAAACCAGAGAACAAACAAAGACAACGTTATAAAAGTGCCCCATAGGGTTATTGAGAGCAAAAAACTAAAAACAGTAGAGATCAGTGAAAATATGGATATTGGAAAATCTAAACAAGATTGATGACAAAATAACTTAAATCGATATCAGAGTTACCCGACTAGAGCATAGCGCTAAAGGAACTATTCCGAAAATCAGAAATGGCTAAGGACCTCCATCAGATCGAGTTGCAAGCAGTATTAGACATTGAGAAACTTGATCTGTGTCTCGTTTCTGAAACACATTTCACTAAACAGTCATATATACAATTTAAGGGGTATAGAGTGTATTCTACTGTACACCTAAATAATACAGCTAAAAGAGGAAGCGCTAGAAGCGCTTATCAATTAAAGATAACAGCATCCATCATCAGGAATTAAAATACACAACTGAGCACATACAAGCTACAAAAGTATGTGTGAAGATGAAAACACATACCGTGAATATAAGATCAATATATTGTCCTCCTAGACACTCCATTAAAAGAGAACAACTAGACTAACTACAACTAAAGGAATACAACCATTGCCAGCTGTTAAGATCAAAAGGGTGAAGTATATCTACTGGTAGACCAACATACTGGCCTACAGATAGGAACAAAATTCCAGAACTGATAGATTTCTTTATTTACAAAAATATCTCAGCTAACGATCTGGATATCAGTGACGACTGGAACATGAACTCTGATCACTCACCGATAGTTTTAACTATGAGTGAAACAGTGATCAAAAAACGTCAAACCAATATTGATTACTAAAAAAACTGACTGGGAGGAGATTCAAATAAACCTTGAACACAAAATTAATCTTGCTGTGCCATTGATAAACACAAGGCAACTAACTTCATGCCGAATTAGAAATTTTTATAAAAAATATCCAACATGGAGCTTGGGAAAATACTCCCCCAATAACTTCAACAACAAAAGGGAACAATTATCCAAAAGAAATCAGAGATCTCATAATAGAAAAAAGAAAGTTAAGAAAAATATGGTAGCAATACAGAGCTCCACGAGACAAAACTAGTCTAAATAATGCTACACAAAAACTAAAAAGGGAGGTAAAGAATATAAAAAATTCAACAATTGATTCCTTTTTAAGGACTTAGAACACGGATTATTGGTTATGGAAGGCAACAAAAAGAATGAAAAGGCCAATTATTCATTCTCTATGTATCAAGTTGGAAAACGGCAACTGGGCTAGAAGTAATGAACAGACAGCAGAACGATTTGCAAATCATTTAGAAAGCACGTTCAAACTCAACGACAATGATGGTGAAGAACTGAGATGGGAAGAACCATTCCAAACCGAAGAGAGAATAACGTTGAAATCATTTAGAGAAGTATCAACAGAGATAAAAGAGAATATAAAACCTAAGAAAGCTCCAGAATATGATCCCATAACCGGAAAACTATTAAAAAATCTACCAAGAAAAGCCATAATTAAGTTGACACATCTAATAAATGCTGCTTTTAGATTAAGATATGTTCCCAGACTCTGGAGGGTAGTCGAAGTCATTATGATCACCAAACCAGGTAAACTTAGTAATGAAGTGACATCCTATCGACCAATATCATTCCTTCCGGTTATGTCCTTATATCAAATCATCAATTTGGTTACAGAATCAAACATTTCACTATGGATCAAGTTCACAGAATAACGAATATAATAGAAAAAACAGAAGAAAAGAAATTCTGCTCTACAATCTTCTTGGACGTAGCACAAGTGTTTAATAAAGTCTGGCATGAGGGTTTAAACTATAAACTAAGAACATTCATACCTAAACAGTATTCGGAAATCTTAGAATCATATATTGCGAACAGATATTTCAGACTAAAGCAAGAAGAAGTGTACACCGATTTAAGGGAGATCAAAGCTAGCGTGCTACAAGGGAGTGTATTAGGTTCGGTCCTGTACGTATTGTATACGTGTGACATTCCAGAGCTAGAACAAAATACTATTGCCACATTCGCAGATGATAGAGCCATACTAGCGATAGGAGGCATTAGTGAATAGGCGACTGATGAGTTACAACTATCAGTAAATCCAATACATACCTGCGCCAGAAAATGGCGAATACAATTAAATGAAACTAAATTTGCACACATCAACTTTACAAATAAAAAAAAAAATTCTTAGTTAGAATAAATAATACCCAAGTTCCTTATATAACATTAGCAAAATATTGCATTGGAAAAAATTCAACATTATCCATTCATAATAAGTTATCTGTTTACAAGCAAGTACTAAGGCCATTGTGGGTATATGGGTAGCAGCTCTGGAGCTGTGCCAAAGCTAGTAATCTACATATTATCCAGATATTTCAAAACAAAGTACTGAGGAACATTGTTGATGCTCCTTGGTATATCCGTAACAGCAACATATACCAGGACTTGGGTATGGAAACTGTGACCGAAGTAATCAAGGGAACAGCAGCAAGTCACGAGCAGTGGCTGCATAGTGATTTGAATGTCGAGGCAATCCAACTTCTTGACAATACTGAACTAAAAAGAAGATTCATAAGGACAAAACAATTGTAAATGTGTAACAATTTAGTGTAAAAAGTGTGATGTTATTGCATGTTAGTTGTAGTACATTAGTTTTTTTTTCTGAAAAATGGCTTTAGCAGGGCCAATTAGCCAGACTTGTTAGTGCATTAGTTGATAGAAAAAATAAGAGTAAGCCATTTGGTAAGCCCTTAGATTTAAGTATTATACTGTATATTAAGTTGGGTCGGAAACTAACTGATAATTGGTCATTTGTGACCACATAGCAGTATACAAACACTGTACAGGTGTTATACAAAAAAAATATAATAATAGGGAGAAATGCCCATTATTCGTAGTTTTAATGGAAATAAATGGTGCTGTTAACTTTTTTTGGTATTTCACGCTATAGCAATGAAAACCAAAAACAGCTGAAATTGTTACGTTGTGTACCTTGGGTCACCGATAGGTCGTGTACCTAGGACCGGACCAAGGAACAATCTTATTGCGAATTAACATTATTTTGACTTTTATTTGAATTAATCGGTATGTCTGTTACCAAAAAGACTTTTTATTATCGTTTGAGATAGTCATTAAAATACCGCGAAATAAAGTGGGTATCAGAAGATCACATATAAATTCCCAGGATTTAACTGCTGTCGCAAATAAATGCATAAGTGGAGAATTATCAATTGAAGAAGCAGCAATGTTCTACATAATATCAAAAACCACGCCGATCAGTCACGTAAAATCCTTCAGGCAGTCGGGGCTTCAGAATTTTCTTATGTTGCTGTCAATAATGTAAAACAAGTTTTTAATAAAGAAGGGGAAGCTGAGTTAAAAATATATCTTCTCACTGCTGTACGCCTCCACTATGGTTTGATGAAAATGTAAGTTCGTACTTTATCATACCAGTATGCAATTGCAAATAACAATTCCCTTCTTGGGACCAACAAAAACAGTTAGCTGGCAAGGAATGGCTGAGGCAGTTTCTTAGAAGACATGAATATTTATCACTTCGTAAACCCGAACCTACAAGTTTGGCCAGATCAACATCCTTCAATAAAACAAATATATCTTCCTTTTTTAAGAACTACAAAGAAAAAATTTGGAATTGTGATGAGACATGCTTAATGACTGTCCATATACCACCAAAAATTGTAGAATCTAAGGGAATAAAACTATTAGGTCAAATGACAAGTGGAGAGCGAGGTCAAAATGTAAACTTGATAGCCCCAATAAATGCAATCGGAAATGATATTCTGCCAAGGCTGATATTTCCGAAGGTTATCATTTGATTAGGAGGTGCAAATCAGTCTGGCTGGTCACACAAAATATTGTTTTTGGAATGCCTACAACACTTTAAAAATCATGTGAAACCAACAGTTGAAATGGCAACAGAAAGAATGGCATTCTACTGATAACGCTTCACCCCCACATCAGCCACAAAATGTAACCGCTCGATCGAACAGTTTTTGGTGAGAGACGTTACATTCTGCTCCTGTTAAATTTTGTATAAATTTAATTGACACCACTTTGGAAAATGGATTTTTTGAAAGCCAAATTTTTGGGATAGGATGTCTTTAATTCACAGACTTCAAATTGCGTATAAATGAAAGTGGTGAATAGAATTTAACTTTTTCCATAAATCTTTCAATGTTATTATGAACATTATCCACTTCTTGAATTGCTCCATGACCTGGTGTAGAAAACTTCATTGTAAGTGTTTGGGAAAGTATGTACTTTTCATATTTTTACATTTAATATTATTCTGTTACGGTACTGTAATGTGATCTAAATCAATGCTGTATTCTAACGACTTTATTAAAATATATTGCTTCCTGTTATTTCGTAAAACTTACTGGCTATCTCATTTAATATGTTTTAAGTACGGAGAATTTGGCTTTCTCCTTTGTATTTTGTGTCACGTAAGGTTTCGTATTACCGTGACAATTAACTTGAATTATCGCCACTCAAAGTCGCAATACAATAGAATGATTTATTGGTACACCCTCTTGGACCACTACGTAACGCTTAGAGGGTTCCTTAGTTCTGACCATCTCAACGTACTTCACTTCAAGACAAAACAGCGAACGCCACGGACCTAGTTTGAACGGTTCTCGTGCTATAGCCTCGGTGTTCCGGGCGTCGGTACCGCGACCAACTCTTCAGCCTGTTACGAATACATTAATAGAACCAAAGGGTAAGTCTATGTTCTTTGTACAAACACCAATAATGAGTAATACCATTTAATTTCATAATTTATTCACAATTTATAGTTGTTATTTTTCGCTAGTTTATTTACAAACAAAATATTGCATTTTTTCTTTATAATTATTTATCTAATATCATTTAACTAGCGACCTCTTAAGTTTTATACAAAACAGTAAGACTTTCTAATTCCGGATGCTGCCTCAGTGATTCCACAACAAAAAATGAAATAAATGAGTTACGATTCTGAGATATACAAGAATCACTCCATGTGACTAGATTAGTGATATTATTATCTTCAAAACTCTATCCAAAATTTTATGAAAACAGTTTTTTTTACAGAGTAATATGCAGCCAAGTTATAGATGTTTAATTTTTGTAAATAAAAGAAATTGCCAACTTTCGATCTTGGACACGTTATTATATTCTGTAAATCAAAACTAAGAACAAATGTTCCGTTTTCCCTATCCATGTTCTTCAAACTGCCGCTGTTCCTCTTCTGTCAAAACTTTGTCACGACTTAGTTTATAGTCTTCACATTTTACACAACGGTCCTTTTTAGGGTTATGAAAACCATAATTGAACTCATTGTTGAACACAAATCGGTAATAGGATAATTTGACTGGATCCTTTCCTGTTCTTTACACCAGTTCAAGTACAAGTCGTATAATTTTTTTTCTTCATGGGCCGTGTATATTGGTTTTTGTGAAATTCCTAATGTTCCCAACAAATAATTTTTACCTACCTGAATCCCCACGAGTCAGCATAAAATACGAAAATATTCATTCGCCGTGGATGCTCTTGCGTAGTGCCCCTGACTTTTAATTTTTTTTATAGCATGGCTCAAATATTATGTATTTTTCGTTTTGAGACAAACTCCAGTATGTATTGAAATCTCCTGTGCCTCTTCCTCGGAAATTTTCTTTTCACAATTGAATTTGCAATTATTTAAACATTTTATTAATAATATGTGCGTTTACTTTCTTGAACCTCTTTACCTCTGGCAATAATATATGATTTCCCTGCTTGGCACATACTTTTCCTCGCATTTACTTTCCAATTTAACGAATTTCTTGTTCGTTTTCTTGTCTTCCTTAAGCCATTGTTGGGAAGCGACGAATTATTGGTTCCATCTGCATCTCTACAATATAGGTTAGATTAAAAAGATCTACTTCTAAATTAAAATAAATGTAATCTTACGTGGTTATCCTGTTATCTCCACTAGCACCCATTTTATTTAGATTATTTGAAAGTATTAAATACTATATAATATAAATAATATATATACTCTTATATTAAATACTTTTTTAGGACACAATTTTAGAAGTAAATTATTATTCGTGTCTATTACCGTGTCGACGGTTTAACGGTTCAACTAAATTTATATGATTAATTACTATTTAACTGGGAATAAGCCACAATTAAAGGTTAAAGTACGTTTATTGACGTTTCAAATTCCACTTCGTAAAACGTTCTTTAGATACAAACAGTGTTGCTTACAGTTTTAAAATAACGATTTATCAAGGAGATTATTAAGAGACAGTCAATTCATAGGTATAAAATGAGAGTATCAGAAAAAAAATGGCATAACAGAAATACTTTTTGTACAGTGGCAGACAACAGGTAAGATATTTTCATAATAATATGAAATGCGTTAATTATAATACCAATATTGAAGCGGTTCGCTAAAATCGAAAGAAGTTACCGAGTCATCAACTAAAGAAATGAAAGATTCAAATTCAGACTCTATGGTTAGTGAAGGAATGAAAGATGTAGATTCAGATCCTATGGTTAGTGAAGAAATGGAAGATTCAGATTCAGACCCTAAGGTTAATCAGGCTCACGACGATAACACCACTTCCCTGGTTTTGAATCTCCGATATTACCGACAGGTAAAGGAATGCGATATAGAAAAAAAAAGATGAAAAAGACAGTCAAGATTTGATTTCACGTACAAAGCGTCTATGTATCTGTTTATACGTATTTAGACCTAATAGGTCTCATCAGAACAGCTATTCATAGGCGTTCTCAACGTGAAAAATAAATCTTTTCTGTCTTTTAAGAAGCAACACTAAACTGGCTTCGATATGGACGCAACAGCGACATCTGATAATAAATCCGTAAAATAGTTTCGAAACCAATTCAGATTTCTGCTTTAATCTGAACCTTCTAAAAATTGCAAGGTATAACAGACGTTGATAAAGATGTTAAAAGAGATATAGGGAATCTAATATTTGCATTCCACGACATGTTTCCTTAACTAAGCAGAAATCCTTAGCGAATTGGTTTCTTGTACTCATACAGAGTAGATCCGAATAAAATGAAAAAGATAGCAGATGCAATTTTTAGAAGGTTCAGATTAAAGCAGAAATCTGAATTGGTTTCGAAACTATTTTACGTATTAAAAAAAAAGAACCTTGAAGTTGAAGAACAAAATGTTCGAAATCCAAATTAATCAGATCAATAATCTCTTTGAATGATAACGATTTGATAAAAAATAACACTAAAAAAGATTACAGTAGCATGAAATAAAAATAATTAATATAGAAATCTGTTTTAAATGCTTACAGTTATAAAATAACGATTTATCAAGGAGATTATTATGAGACAGTCCCATCTCTTTAATATTATAACTAGATTAATAAAAAATTTTCGCAGGTATAAAAGTAGAGTATTAAAAAAATGGCATAACAGAAATAGTTTTTGTACAATGGCAGGCAACAGGTAAGATATTTTCATAATAATATTATGCATTAATTATAATACTAATATTGAAGCGGTTCGCTAAAATTCAAAGAAGTTACCGAGTCATCAAGTAAAGAAATGGAAGATTCAAATTCAGACTCTATGGTTAGTGAAGGAATGAAAGATTTAGATCCTATGGTTATTGAAATAATGGAAGATTCAGATTCAGACCCTATGGTTAGTAATAGTCGACACGCAGCAGTCAAACAGGACGGTCAACTAAGCCGCTATCAGCATCTGCGACTTCAAACCATGTTACAACTCGAATTGAAGCCGACAAAGGTAGTTTTGGAAGATAATGAATTCGCCGAATTAACAAATATGATTACACAACCTGTAACGAGTGCGTTACTTAAATAACCGTTTACCTTTTTTGTGACTGGAGTCTTTTAATTTAACTTTAATTTAAATTCATATTTGAAATATTCTTAAACTGAATATTTAAATAACTCCCAGCAAATTTTACTTTCTAAGGTTGGCATTAAATCCCGACCTCTGGTGTAAGATTCTGAAAGTACGTCGACTTGACGACTTGTAAGTGTTAATAGAATTACTTGTTGACTGGGTGTGATCGAAGACAGATCGATCGATCATAGTGGCGGCTGGGAGGTGCCATTTTTAAGAAATTTAGTTTAAGTTTATTTTTTTTTATGAAGAACCGCTGATTTAAGGACAACAATTTAAGTTATTTTTGGGTGTTTTGTACGAGGATACTTTAAGTTTTGGACCACCTCCGCCGGTAAGATGAACTTATAAATATATTATATGAAAAACCATGTCTGATCATCCGCCATTGTTAGTGAAATTCAAATCAATTTTAATCCTTTCTCGATAGATATTTCACACATCTTATATATGTCCTATTTTACGATATTTCTCGATAGATATTTCACACATCTTATATATGTCCTATTTTACTTTATTTCATTAATACCTAAATACATTACAAGTATTATATTTTATAATCATGTCAAATTTTATTTCTTTCCAAGGATGAAAGCAAACAATTATCTATTTCAATTCCATACCGTTTAAACCGGCTAATATTTCTTTTTTCCTATTTTATAATATATAAAGATCATGCTTTCCGTTAAAACTATCTTATAAAAAACGTTGTCACACCATTCGAAGGTCACTATTTATCAAAACCATTAGGGTTTTTATTCCAATTTAAGGTCACTGGTTGACATTTCTTGTATCACCTTTCAAGGTTGATAAACCTTGTGTGTTTTTCATACCTTTTTGTATGTACAAAGGACATGAAGTAACACAATTGTTCCTTTTTTAGCCAACTTCCGGAACCCAGTCACAAGTCAGGGAAGAAACCTTTTAGTTTTGGGGTTATATTTATTAAGGAGAAGGGGAAGAAATTTTAAGTTATATGGGGATTTAAAGAAGATTTTTTTTATATATACATGGAACCCAGGGTTGGTGTACTTTTACCCACTGGAGTCTAGTTCTTCACCGGATCATCTTCCAGGGCAACCTACGGAAACCGGCAGGAAGAACTTATTTTGTTTTTGTTTGTCATTCCAATATTTTTTATAACTTTTTTCAACATCCTCTTCAAGGTTTTAACTTTTGCTTTACTTTAATTTAAATATATCATTAATAATAATTGCCTTCACTTTTTCATAAAATATTAATCATTGTAACGTAATTTAATTATTTATTGTCCACCAAGGGTTGAGATTGTAACTCCCCTGGACTCTCTCGTTATCAGGTTATAGTGTGCACACATATCCGGAGAGGTCTTATTTCATTTATTCGATAATTGTAACATTTATATTATTATATATTTCATTTTATATTATATTTATATAACTATTGCATAACCTTAGTCAAAATTTAACATTAATAGGTACGTTGGGGGGGGAAATTATTTTATCATTATATTCAGGGTTTTCATTGTAAATATAGATTAGTTAATTGTATATAAGAGGTGTTGGGTAATATTGTTATATATATAGGGGTTTAAAATAATTTGTACATAATATAGGTATTTATTAAAGTTGGGTTAAAACAATTTAAGATTTCACTTGGTACCTATCCTTTAATCTTTCAGCAATACAAGATATCTCGGAAGAAACCATTTAACTTCCTGGCGCCCAAATATTCAGTAGAGCAACTTTATCTTTCATCTGTTTATTTCTTGGTAGATTTCTTGTCATTAGTTCTTCTATCTTACGGTCACTGTAGGGCATGCAAATTGGCCTAATCCCTCTTGAGTGTCAAGTGGTCATTCTCCTGCATAGTCGCTAGCCAGCATTAATTTTATTATATTTTAAAATTCATATTTACCCTTTATTTATTTCTTTCATATAATTTATTTCTATCTAATCTCTTTATCTTCTATTATTCCACATATTAGTTCGTTGGTGTATCAAGGTACATTTTAGAGTTTACCCTATTGCTACACTACACATCCTTGTTATATTGGCGCTCCAGCCAATCCATTTTTGTTACATTGGCGCCCAACGTGGGGCCTTTTCTCAGTTCAGACCGTACATTCTGAAGTATATTTCTCTTTGCAAAATATTCTTTATTATTTCTAATTTGTTCCTGTTGCTCTTTGTTCATTTTTTTTAACTTCTTTATTTATTTATCTTTTCTTATTAGATTTACATTTATAGGTATACTTGTATTGCTGCAGTTTACTTATACTCATATTTAAACCCTCACCTTTTAATCTCATTGTGTACAGTTAACTATCTATTCTACTATTATTGAACTTTAAGAATTTAATAATTTAGACATTACTATTTTTTATACATATATATACTAGCCAATATTGGTGAATTTTTTATATTCAAGTATTTGTTAACCATATACTTGTTGAAACCATTGTGTGTTGCTTCAAGGATTGTGTTTATATTTACTTAACTTACTTAACCATTTTGAGATTTTTGTGAATAACTTGAAATTATTTTTGGATTGATTTTGTGGTGTGTTGGTACATATTTACTTATATATTTTTTTTTGAAAACTTTATATTACTATTCGATTGGTTTTGTGGAGTGTGAGTATATTATCTCCTTGTCTATTCTACCTATTCATCTATTTGTTTTTCTTTCACAATGTCTGCATTTAAGGTAGAACATTTATTAGTTAAAGAATTAGATTATGAGTTGAGAATTAGGGACATTCCCATTGATGCGTCTTCCAATGTGGATTTAAAACGCAAGATATTGCGTGGAGCTCTAAGGCAAGAAGAAGGAAATAGGAGCTTTCGACAAATTTCTGCCACCAGTATTCCCTTTTTGGAACAACAAGAAGAGATTGATGAGACTATGGATGATTTGGCTAAAAGGATATCCGATTTTAGAGGGACTGTCCAAGATAGCCTATACTCCAGGCTGATATCACGTCTAGCCCATGTCTCAGGCCGTGTTCATTTATTATCATGTTCGAATGAGGAGCAGCAAACTTACAAACGCTCTATTTCAATCCGAATTCTTAGCCTAGAGGGTGAACTTGATTCACGAGT